TTAGCCCCCCCCCCCCTCTCTCTCTCTCCCTCTTCTATTTTTGCAAACTAATTGGTGGCTTCTGTGCAGTCCGCATTGATGGATGATAAACATGCTGCTGTTGTCATGTGGTGCCGTTCTTCCTGTTCTAATTGTAGAGTGTACTCTGCTATAAGTTAAACTAGACTGGGACTATATTCTGGTATCACTGAATGTGAAGTTTGCTATGTGGGACTTACTATCGTTGATACTGCTGTCATTTTGCTTTTGTTGGATCTCATGGCTTCAAATTTCACTGGTATGGAAGTATTAACTTGTAAGGCGTTTGCACTGAAGCTCATTTTCCTGTTTATTTGGTTGGATTTCGTCTTGGTAAAATTGCTTAATTCTGTTCTAGATATGGTAGGTTTGAGTACGTGGGGTTGAGATTGATTATATCTACTGAATTATTGTTTCCAACAAGTGCAAGGAGCCAACTACTCAATTTTTTTTTTTTTTTTTATTTCTATAGAATTTTGGAGAACTGCAATTAGAAGCGCCCGTGACATGTAGTATGTAAATATCAAAGCATGTTTCCGACAATTTTAGCCAATTTTAAGGTCCATTTTACTAATATTATCACACATTTCCGAAATGTACTCCATCCAAATAGGACATGAAATATTACATTTGGACTTATTACAGTCCAAGTAAAGGATGACATTCTGACTTATAACAGTTCANCGTGACATGTAGTATGTAAATATCAAAGCATGTTTCCGACAATTTTAGCCAATTTTAAGGTCCATTTTACTAATATTATCACACATTTCCGAAATGTACTCCATCCAGTAAAGGACGAGGGGTGCGCTAAATGTGTGCAGTAGCACTCCTTATTTCTAGAAAATAGGAGTAGAATGAAAAGTGGCACAAGCTTGTATTCTTCAATTTTTTGCTTTTTGAAATGCACTTTTACTCTTGTTAACTTGTTTAACGTGACAACTCAGATAAACTCTAAACTTTTTGTAACCAAAAAAAGGCCATCCAGTGAATCAATGCAGTCAAACTAGTAAGTAGGGAGGGGAGGTCCAGCTTTGTGGTCTAGCAAGTCAAGGGATGATTCTCCTAATTGGACAGAGAGTGGTGCCAATTGGTTCGTTGCAGAACAGCCTGAGCGACTCATAGTAAATGTTCACTGATTTCATCAGTCAGGATAGTTTTGATTCGCTCTCAGTTTGGCGGTCATAGGATATTAAATTATCAGTTTCTGATAAGGTTGGATTTGCTTGCACTGGAAGTTTTCGGAGACAGAGGTCAACATGTCATTTTAGAGATGTTTGTTATCAAGGCATATATGAGGGTCACCATACTTTTTTCAATACATTCCAAATGGTGCAGGAAAGACTTACTGGTCAAGATGTTCTACGATCGTGATATCTGTGTGTAGGCGAGCAAAAGGAGCCAAAATGAGCGCCCTTGCGCATAGAATAAAAATATAATCGGAAGAGAAAACCTGCTTCTAAGGGGTGGAATGGAAAACTCCAATGATTCAATTCGAGAAGAACCTAATTTTCAAACTTTATAAAAAAATATCCTTTCATTGATGAAAAGACCTTACAATTTAAGATGATAAAAACTACTTTAATAACTTNTCTAAGGGGTGGAATGGAAAACTCCAATGATTCAATTCGAGAAGAACCTAATTTTCAAACTTTATAAAAAAATATCATTTCATTGATGAAAAGACCTTACAATTTAAGATGATAAAAACTACTTTAATAACTTACATAATCCATAACTCCACTATCTAGTAACCACTTAGAAAACTATCCACAAAATATTCTATCACCAACTCACTCATTAACAATTTTTCAATAGCCAACTCTTAGATTACAGAAAAAATATAGTAAAAATATGCACATAACACAATCATTGCACCAAGGTATGTTGAAATTATGATTGGGAAGAGGCATCCACACCCACAACCAATTGCATCATAAGTGAACTCAACAAGAAGTTCTGCTAATAGCAGACCGACCTAAATTATGGAGAATGTGACTGAAGGTGTCATTCCACTCATTCCAATGGGCATGCTTTCTCAAACTCTTTCTGCTCTTTACGGCATAACTCAAATTCATTCGTATGGTCGTACAGACAGGCGGCATAAGCATCCATCTCTTTTGTGCACCTTTGATGAAGATCTTTCAGCCTACATGGCCAAGTATAGGATAATTCAGAAATGCTCCTTACTAGTTTCTTGTCATTTTTTCTTGATAGATAGAAGCAACAAATTATCAATGTAAACATAAAAGAAGTTCAGCCTTAAATTTTAGGTAAGGTTGGAACACTTCACTTTTGAATTATCAAGAAAGCAGGATAACATTTCTCTCAATGGTTTCATGATCCGAATATTTAAATCCTATTCCTGAGAATTTAAGCACCTAACTACGAAAAATCCTTCACATGTATTTAAGAANTGGTTTCATGATCCGAATATTTAAATCCTATTCCTGAGAATTTAAGCACCTAACTACCAAAAATCCTTCACATGTATTTAAGAAAACCATTACAAAAGATGCACGCTCCAAGCCATACAGTAGATCCCATTCTTAGCAGCTGAAGAACAAGTATCCATATTTCTACAAAAGAAGCTGAAGGATACAGCCTTGGTCCAACAAACCTGTATCTCTGTTGTTGCAAGACTAAGTAATTCAGCTATCTTGCATGAGACATGTACAAAGTGCAACCCCTAAGACTGTTTTTGCTTTGTATTAGTAGATNATCTTGCATGAGACATGTACAAAGTGCAACCCCTAAGACTGTTTTTGCTTTGTATTACTCCTTTTGTTGCATAGACTGAGTCCCATCTCATCAGCTACAAATATTTTGGTCACATGCATAGCCCTGTCAGACCAGAACTACATGAAAATAGATGCTTATGTGCCACATCCCCCCGTTCACTATTGCATCACCAAAAAATTTCCAACATTCCTGGCCATCTAGAATCAATTTTATCTCTACTAAACTTGAAACTAGAATTGAAAACAACCCAACTTATTGAGGCGCTACTGCAACAAAGTAACAATTTTGCTTTTGAATGAAAGAATTTTCTACAGACTTTGCTATTAAAAACACCTTAATGACTCCCGCAAAAGCCCAGCTGTCAATACCCAAAGGAGGTATAATGTAAGATTAATGAGTAATCTTTTCTCTATAACCAATGACTTCAATTTTGTGCAGCAGCGTCAGCAACAAGATCCATCTACATATCGCAAAGGCTAAAGATTATCACTCAGCAACATACTTGAAACTGTATATAAGCAATCAGATTAACAATGCACATCGACATCCCAATTTGTAGTGTTCTAGATTATGTAAGTTGTGCGTGATAAAATAGCTACAATGATAGTCAGAAATAACGATGCATTTAGCTGAAATTGGACTTTTAAAGAGAACCAATTCAAATTTTGTACAGACCCAAAGATAATCAATCATAAATGCTTTCAAAAAAAAACCAAGGCTTCGGTAAAACTCCAATTCCAATTTCATGTTGCCAAATGCATCACAAAGGTGTTATTAGACCAGGAAATTCACTATTTCCTCATGAAAAAGTTCAATGAACATACATAACTGTGAATGTGTAAATATGACTATGAATATTTGCTTACAGGCGAAGAACACAGCGAGTGACTTGGTGGCCTTTGTCGAGGCATTTCTCAGGGTTAGGATCGTCCTTCTTGCATTTGAGGAAGGCCACGTTCTCTCACCTGCATCTCGTCGCTATGTGCTTCGACGCCGCCATCAGCACCGCCGACGTCGGGATCGGCTCTCCGACCGCGTCCACCGTGCTCGCCATCTCTCCCAATCGCTTCCTCCTGACCAAATCAGAAAAAAAAAAAAAAAAACACGCGGAAAATGTTCAATCCGCAATCAAAGAGAAAAAATTTCATTATTTTCCAGAAGTTTCTCCGCAACCAAACAGAAAATCTAAGGGAAAAAGTTAATGGACAACTTTGTTTCGATGATAGTACGCTTTAAGACATCTGGAGACGAAGATGCTATAGTGAAAAGTGCTATCTTACGCAGGGGTGACATACTACTTTTGTAGTTGAGAAATTACTATTATATTTTAATTTATGGGGGCATTTATGTCTTTTAACACCGGAGGCATTGCGTCAGGTAAAAAGGTATCTTCTTGTTGAGTCTCATTTTATTTTTTTGTAAGGGTTTATTTCGAGCTCGTCTCGCTCATTTTCTCACTGTAGCTAGGGTTTTGGGAGCTCTTGTTGGAGACAGATATTGGGCTTTTACTTGTTGAAATTTGAGAAATGGGGGACAAGAAGAAGCAGGCTACAATGTTCATCAGGCTTGTTTCAGCTGCTGGGACTGGATTTTTCTACGTGAAGAGGAAGAATCCTCGCAGAATCCCTACAAAGCTCGAGTTTTGGAAATATGATCCTCGTGTGAATCGTCACGTTCTGTTCACTGAGGCTAAGATGAAGTGATTGAAATCCTGCTCCACTCCNCTCCAATTCCAATTTCATGTTGCCAAATGCATCACAAAGGTGTTATTAGACCAGGAAATTCACTATTTCCTCATGAAAAAGTTCAACGAACATACATAACTGTGAATGTGCNCATCACAAAGGTGTTATTAGACCAGGAAATTCACTATTTCCTCATGAAAAAGTTCAATGAACATACATAACTGTGAATGTGTNTGGAAGACTAATTCAGAGAACATGCTGCAAAAGTCATTTGACCTGAGGTTGCTACTACAAATATAGATTTCATGTGGTTTTGACATTGTCATCCAGGCATGCCTGACAGGAGTTTTATACACGGGCATGTTATGTTATATGGATGACATAAAAAGACTAGGAGATGTTGAAAGGAGGATCCATGCCTCCAATGGTAGGAGAGAATACTCGTGATTGTGTCCATGTGTTCTGGATTGAAATCCTATTGCTCAATTCTGAAAATAGTTTTAATATTATAATTAATACTCATACTAAGTTTGTTGAGATGTTAGTTTGTTGATGTACACGATTGCAAATGTAAAATCAGTTGGACTGGGTCAACTAGGTAGAAGGATTCCTTAAAGTTCCCATGTAACATGTCCTTATCTAAGCCCAGGTCTACACTATATAGAGTTACGAAATTATAAGGTCGTCACTTTATTCCTCGTTATGAGAAGTATAAGTGGATGTGAAGTGGTAATGATCTTTGATAAGTCGATGACTATGGTTGAGTGTCAATATGTATATGGAAGGAAAGGAGATGCCATTCACTTCTTTGGACACATTTTTTTTCCTTGCCTCGCTTTGTTAGTGGTGGCTGATCAGTGTTGAAGACTTAATGAACATGCGCAAGATCTTTGGAAGGTTTTGCACATGTGGGTTCCTTGATGCCATCTAGCTGAAAACCTAGGATTCATCTTTTGTTGATGTCTGTTCTTGCTTGATTTTACCGACGAATATAATCGCATGAGACTGATGATTCAGATGGGTTCACAGGAAGATAATGTTTAACACCCAGCATAGCAGCACTACATCGGAGACCCCACCCCTTTCACCCACCTCCTGAACATCGGTGGCGCTCCCCTAAAACTGGCAACCACCCCCACCCTATGAGACTTTCTAGAAACCCAGCCCCCAGAAACCACCTCTCTCCTCTTTATAAGTCTCAACTCAATGTCATCCACCCTCCAAAGGGCTCTGGCAAATATTACATTGTATCTCAAAAGATTTTTAAATTCTTAATTTATGCAATAAAAAATCAAAATTTTCATATTACATCCTTAATCAAGATAAAAAGAAGCAATGCAATTTAAACCTATTATTGAATCAGACTCATGATCTTGGTTTCTTATCACCAAATTAGCGGTTGATTGCCACCGCCTTTTGTTGGATCTTAAGATCGTGAGTTTAAAGTTCACCGTTATTCTTCCTCATAATAATACATGACAAAAAATGAGCACATCACTAACTAGATGTATCAAAATATGATACAACTTGTTAATACGATACAAAATTAGAGATTTTGAGTTTTTTTTAAGTTATTCATTTCATAATCGAGTGGACTCAAATTACAAATACATGTGAAATTAATCAAAATAAATATATAATACGTCTTGTTTATATATCAATTATATACTATTTATATTGGACAAAAAATTGATATGATACGAATCAATAAATAAATTGAATATCAATAAAATATTTTTTAACAGAAATTCACCAAAGCTCGAATATGTGTCACTAGACACAATTAAAAGACCTTGTATAAACACAAGAAAAAGTGGGCAAAGGACGTTGAAAACTTAGTAATCCCTCTATAATTTATGGCATGAAACACAACATCATGGGCCTCTAGTGTACTCTTCCTGATCCAAAGGCTCCGCAAGACAAAAAAAGGTAAATTGTAAAGGGTACACTAAATTAGATTTATTTGGTAAATAGTACATACTAAACAATATAGAGTTANGCATCACAAAGGTGTTATTAGACCAGGAAATTCACTATTTCCTCATGAAAAAGTTCAATGAACATACATAACTGTGAATGTGTAAATATGACTATGAATATTTGCTTACAGGCGAAGAACACAGCGAGTGACTTGGTGGCCTTTGTCGAGGCATTTCTCAGGGTTAGGATCGTCCTTCTTGCATTTGAGGAAGGCCACGTTCTCTCACCTGCATCTCGTCGCTATGTGCTTCGACGCCGCCATCAGCACCGCCGACGTCGGGATCGGCTCTCCGACCGCGTCCACCGTGCTCGCNCCAAATACATAATTTGAATTTATCTATTTTTATTGTGACATTTTTGCCCTCCATTAAACATCTCCTAGTTTTATGGGAGAACTTTAATATATATATACATAAATATATATATATATTTATATATACACACACATATGTATGTATGTATGTATATATTTATTGTTAAATCTCTTATTTAAATTTTGAATTATCTTTTAATGCACTTTGATTCATGCATTTTTTTTTTAGAAAGTGGTTTTATTTTCAAATTAATTTAATATCTGAATAGTGTAATAGTATAACAATAAAAGTATAACAGTGTAGCAATAACAATGTAACAATAAAAGTGTAACAGTATAACAATAATAATGTAACAAGCTATTTATACAAAATATTCTACTATTACATTTTGTCAAACATATAGTTTCATATAATTTCATTCAAAATAGTCCATCTTCTTTTTGAATTTGTTACCACATACACAAAACTACTGAACATTGCTTTTGTTACAATGTATTTGTTACACTGTTTTTGTTACAGTGTATTTGTTACACTGTTATTGTTACATTATTACATTATTCGGATATTAAATTAATTTGAAAATAACACCAATTTCCCCCAAAAAAAAAAAAACGCTTGAATCAAGGTGCATTAAATATAATTTGAAAATAAAATCACTTTCCAAAAAAAAAAATGCATGAATTAAGGTGCGTTAAAATAATTAAAAATTTAGATAAAATATTTAATAAGTATATATATATACTTAAACAAGTATATACACATATTTACATGTATTAACACACATGAATCAAGATGCATTAAATACGTATTTATATGTATTAACAAACACACATGAATCAAGGTGCATTAAAGATAAGATATTTTAAATTAAATGACCATAAAATGAGCATTTATATCTTTTTAACTCACATTTTGTTCTATGTATATTTTTACAATTAAGTTTAATTAGGTGTACCAACTTTTAAAAAATCCAAACAAAATAGACATGTTTTGTCTAAGGCCATGCCGCCNTTTTTAACTCACATTTTGTTCTATGTATATTTTTACAATTAAGTTTAATTAGGTGTACCAACTTTCAAAAAATCCAAACAAAATAGACATGTTTTGTCTAAGGCCATGCCGCCCATTCTGTTCAAATTTCAATCAAAGCCGAGCATGGAAAATGACATGACATTAGCAATATCGTTCTGCACATGAACCCTCTGTTCGGTAGGAAGCTGAATGGAAAACGGAAGGAAAGGAAATATTTTCCCTTATTTGCTAGGGAAGGAAAACGGTGTTGAATTGATTTACTATTATGCCCTTCAAAGCTTACATATCCATGGTATGGTTAGCCCTTTTGGTNCAAAAAAAAAAAAAAAAAAAAACACGCGGAAAATGTTCAATCCGCAATCAAAGAGAAAAAATTTCATTATTTTCCAGAAGTTTCTCCGCAACCAAACAGAAAATCTAAGGGAAAAAGTTAATGGACAACTTTGTTTCGATGATAGTACGCTTTAAGACATCTGGAGACGAAGATGCTATAGTGAAAAGTGCTATCTTACGCAGGGGTGACATACTACTTTTGTAGTTGAGAAATTACTATTATATTTTAATTTATGGGGGCATTTATGTCTTTTAACACCGGAGGCATTGCGTCAGGTAAAGAGGTATCTTCTTGTTGAGTCTCATTTTATTTTTTTGTAAGGGTTTATTTCGAGCTCGTCTCGCTCATTTTCTCACTGTAGCTAGGGTTTTGGGAGCTCTTGTTGGAGACAGATATTGGGCTTTTACTTGTTGAAATTTGAGAAATGGGGGACAAGAAGAAGCAGGCTACAATGTTCATCAGGCTTGTTTCAGCTGCTGGGACTGGATTTTTCTACGTGAAGAGGAAGAATCCTCGCAGAATCCCTACAAAGCTCGAGTTTTGGAAATATGATCCTCGTGTGAATCGTCACGTTCTGTTCACTGAGGCTAAGATGAAGTGATTGAAATCCTGCTCCACTCCTGGTTAGAACTACTTGTTCTCATGCACTTATCTTTGATCAATGTTATGTTGTTATTTCCTGTAACCAATTTTCAAACGAAATTCAGCTCAATAAGTATTGTTATTTCTGCTTAATTTTGGGTTTGATGTGACATGTTTGATCATGTATTTCTGAAACCACTTCATCTTTAATTGCAACTAGTCTCTCATCTTCTAAATTTTTCATGATCATTGATGCATCCTGAGTGATTTGATTCAATACGTTATGAATTTTGTCACTTTATTTGGAATGTCATTGTTGCCAGAAGAAATTGAGCTCTTCAGCTCTGTCATTTCTTGGTTTTGTTT